AAATGCAATCGATGTGCAGGCGGCAAAATGTTAGCCGGGTTGCTGTTGATCCGAACCTCTATCATAAGGAAAATCGACCCGTTTTCTACGCTGCAGAAACTAGAGAAGAGCCTAATGCATTTTGGATTTTTGGAGGTTTGTATACACTTCTAAATCATAATAGCGTTCGATCAGAATATACGATAAGCGAGAAAGGTTCAAAAATGTACTTCCTTTCTACTACCATTCCTTGTTTACTTAAAAAATCTCAATCAATTTGCGATTTCGCTACGAAAAATTGAGCTTTTTTGCTACAGGTTCGCCGTGGATGATACTGAGCCGAAACTTCGTCGAGCATTGTGTGAAGGGATGGGACAATTTTCCTCGAAAATTGCTAATGTACTCAAGCAATGTGGCATTTCCACTAGAATCCTACTTCCAAACGGTACTTTGCAACACGCCCGAGTTCCATAACACGACAATTGTGAACGACGATTTGAGATATATCGTCAATCGAAACGAAACCCTTAACATAACAACAATAAAGATTTCCAATCGTGACTCCAAAACTACAAGACGAACGATTTTTGTTGGGCCGTTCGAAGAAAACGACCCAAAGCTACAAGCAATCGACGAGCAACTCCTTAAGCTCGATAAAAATGGGATCGTGCGAGGAAAATGGTGCGAGAAAAGGAGAATAATGAACGAGACCGAGCCAAGATTGATGAATAGTACTATTGCAAGTGAAAACTTGTGCTCGTCGTCTAAGGGAGATGTTGATAGTTTGGAGTCGGGGGTTTTGGGGACTTTGCTTCGTACGTATTTGTCAAGTGTAGTTAAAGAGAATGAATTGGCGAGCGGTTTGTGCCGAAGCCATGTTATTCGAAACGAAAGAAAGAAGTAATGGGTGAGATTGTTGCCTGGTTAGGTTTAGTTTGTGAAGAGTGTATATGCAAAAACTTGTGCAAAAAGAGAGTGAATTGTTTGAACTCTGATTATAAACAAGCTACTTGATTTCCAAATAGTGAACTAAAGTGAATTTCCCTCACTTGATGAACAAAATTTAAAGTGTTGTCACTTGTCACTCACTTTAGTTTGATGACTCAAATATAGTTAGGTGTTCTTGAACAAACATTTTTTACAATTAAATATAATTTTATTAAAAAATGTCACTTTTTTTAGAACAATGTATTGTATACATTTTCATTCAAACAACAGATTGTGAGATTGTCTAATTGCATAATAGCTGACGCTCACAAGAATTTACTATTTACATTTAATAACCTTTGAAAAATTACTACAAAATAAAATGGATTTATAGTCTAATCACTAAGCTAAGCTGACACACAAGAATATACTATTTACATTTAAAAACCTTTCCAAAATGTACAAGATAAAATAAAATGGATTTATATGGGAAGGAAAAGAAGAAGATCGGGATAAAAAGAATTTCAATTACTTGGATCTTTTTTTTAGCAATAAATATTTTTTTCACCATAAATAAANAAGACCATAGTCAAGGCACTCGGCCCTCAAGTCCTCGCAGGCCACTCGCACCGCCGCGCCGCCGCCGGCGACCCCGATCCTGCCGCACCACCCGGCGAAAACCCCCTCCGCGGCCGCGTGATCCGCCCCCCGCCGGCGCTCCACGTCCACCGGAATATTCTCTCGCCGGTGAGGTGGTGCTCGAGATGCAGTCGGAGGAGTAGCTGGAGGAGACGGATCCGCCGTCTTCGGAGGCCGGGGAGCACGACTGGAAGGTGTCGCGGGGAGAACGGAGTCCGGCGCCGGAGAATTCATCTCCGGTCGGATTTCTGCAGCTGGGGCAGACCGGGCGGCGGAGGTGGCGGGCGACGAGGAAATTTGCGCCGTGGACCTCGGCGTCGCACTTCCGGCAGAGGAAAGCGGCGTCGGAAGGGCAGTAGACGGTGGCGGCCGCGGTGCACAGCTCGCAATGCCTCAATTTCATCGTTCAGTTTAATTTGTTTTTTCTTTTTACTGCAAAAAGGGGAAATCTGAATGTAAATGACTGTGTGTTAGTGCGTGAGAGAGAAGGAGATAATGGATGAGCATACGAAGAAAAATAGAGATAGAGAATGGGTTTTGTAAAATGCATTGAAAAATGTCGCACATTTTATATACAGCTTACCCGAGCCTGAGCCATTAATGAACTAAAAAATGAGTTCGAACTCGACTTGTTTATATTAACGAGTGCAACTCGAGCTTTAACAAGCTGAATTTAAACTTTAACGGGTCGAGTTATAGAAAATCATATAAAAATCAACTTTTTGAATCTTACCGAGCCGAGTCGATCTCGACTCGTTAACTAAACGAGCTTTTAAAAAAGCTCAAACTCGGCTTGTTGAGTCGAGCTCGCTAGCAGCTTGTTTCGTTTAACAACTCTACTTATGCATCCACAATTATTATTATTTTAGTCAGGGTTAGACAAAGTGAGTGACTCGTGAACTCTGTTGGCTCGTTGATACTTGAGTTTGGCTCAGCTCGTTTATCAAATGAGTCAAGCTCAAACTCGTTGAAAACTCATTTAGTTCACAAACGTAGCTGGACTTAATGTGTTAATTTTCGAACTCGACTCGTTAATATATGGACAAACGAGTCGAGCTCAAGCTCTGTTACTGGCTTGATTCAATGAAGACTCGAATTCGTTTCGTCACATTTGATAAATAATTTGAACTCGTAAAAGACTCGTTTGGTTAACGAGTCAGACTCAGCTCGGCTCATTAAGAACACCAACAATGCATTGGCTCTAATTTCACATATGTAGCATACAAATGAATTTAAGTCATGAATGACATGGACAAACCTAAGTAAAAAAAAAAAAAAAAAGTTATCAAGTGCAAAAATAAAATATTAGGACTAGAATACTTTCTCTATTAAAATAAAAAATAAATTAAAAATAAATGATGACTGTTCAAGTTTCTACTTGGCCCAAAATAGATCCAAGAAATAGACTCCAAGAGTGACTTTATCTCATTTCAATTTGCTATGGAGTCATCGAATGACACCACTTATGGAACCATCCACACTTATTAACAAATAGTGAAACGATATGTGTCCTACAATAAATGCACTTTGGACATGTGTCAATACATTAAGTGATGGATGACTCTATAAGAAAATCATCCGATAGCTCCATAGAATTTGTGTCTCATTTTTTTATTGTCACATAAATTAGACTATGTCTACTTTTAATTTAATGGATTGAAAAACTTTTTTTCATAGACCAAGTTTATTTCATACATGGTATATTATATTTTTCAAAAGATCCAAAGCATTGTAGGTGTTTTAGGCTCAAACTCGAGTACCATGAGCTCGAGCTCAGTTCATTTACATTACACTTTAGTCATAATCTATAAACATACAATCAGCGTGTGAAATATGTTTTGAGACTTTTTTTTTTTTTTCTCTCAAGTCAAGTGGAGTGAAATTGGTGAAGGATGAAAAAGGGAATTGAAATGGAAGATTCGTCCACCAGCCACATAAAAACAAGGGAAATGCTATAGGTACATAATAGTTTACATAGAGATGTATATAACACTCACATAGTGTAGGTCCTACCAAAAATAAAAAATTAAGTGGACCCCATTCTATGTGAGTGTTAGGTATATCTCTATGTACATTTATTATGTACTTTAGCATTTTTTTAAAAACAATATGCATACTTATTATTTCATTTGATTTTTTTATTATGTATGATGTTTTAAATCATACTCCATATTTAATAATCCTGCATCAAACCCTGTCCACAAAAAACGCGGTCACCCTCGAACAACTCTACAAGCACTCACTTTCAGATCAAATTTTTCTTTTTCGGTCGCCCATCCATGGCCAGGCTGTCCTTCCTTCTTCGCATTTTTCCTTTTTTGTTTTTTTTTTTAATATTTTATGTTTTTTTTTTTCNCTAATGAATGTAGATTAACATTTCATGTGGTGTGATTAAAAAATCAGGAAATTTTGATGTTGACGCATGATTAGTGGATAAACCTCAATGACGTACTCATGCTGGTAGTTGGGCACTTCGTACATATGTTTTAAAAACACAAAATCATATTTGAGATAGTGCAACGGGTTGACCAATTTTACCATGTGAATAAAAAGGTATACATTACTTATACAGTTATACTACTATAACTGTTAAACTTCTTTTCACGTTTTTTTTTTTTAAAGTATGACATCTCCAATGTATACATTTTCATGGAAAAACAAATATGGACTAAATGTATGGAAAAACTACAATTAATTGCATTTCAGTTTATTAGGGCTTACTTGGCTATAAAAATATTTCATTTCATACTCAATCTAACTCAATTTTAACTTTACTCCACTATCTTCAATATTATCAATATAATCAAATAATATCAAACAATCATTCTTAGACATCACAACACTATTCATCCACTCATGTAATTTTAACCAATCATCATTTCACATCATCTATCTCTTACTTTTATATCAAATAAACTTTAATCATTATTTTTTAATATTATTTTAATATAAACTTTAAATTTCACTAACAACTAATTATATAATTTTTTTAAACTTAATTATGATTAACCAAAGAAATATATTTTGATCGAAATCTTTTGTATACAACTAATTATATTTGATTATATTGACAATACTTATTGAAATTTCAAAAGTGGTCTGGGACTGGAAGGGAGATATATGTGGGCCATTGAATTGGAGTATATGAAATATTTAAATAAATGATGGATTGTGAGATGTGGAAATGGACTTTAGTTGTGTGGTTGGATTTGTCTGGTCTAAAAAATATCTGAAGGCAAACGAAATATGTACCACAAAATTGGAGTTGTCAACACGTGGCACAAGTAGACCTCCTGCTAGTGTGTGTGGCACATGATAAAGGCAGTATAGAACTTTCAGCCGAGCTCACTAATTATTATTGTGTAAATAATGACAAAACTTTGCGTTAAAACGGGGAGATTCGAATATTATAACATTATCGATTCTTTTACCTATTGAATCACACATTCACCTACAATCGATAGGTGCAAATTAATCCAACAGTAAAAAAATTCACCGAGAGACATAGCCACAAATTTTTAATTAAATAAAGGATGAAGTTCAAGTTTCTAAAGAGTTGATTGTTTACAAAATAATTTGTCCAGAATGAGCTATTTTTGTTAATCAGATTAATTTTAAAAAATATGATATGATTAGTTGTTAGTGGGATTTTAAAAATATATTAAAATAATATTTAAAATAAAATAATTAAAATTGATTTGATGTAAAAGTATGAGATAAATGATTGAAAAAGATAAGTAGTTAAAATTATGTGAATGGATGATAGTGAATTAAAATTGATGTGATGTGTAAAAATAATTGGTTTGTATTATTTAATTATATGAATAATATTAAAGATAGTGAGATTGAGTTAAAGTTGAGTTAAATTTTGAGTATAAATTAAATGTGATTGAAATAATTGATAAACAAGCATGCAATTCTTTTCATTTTTCAACTTTTAGAGTTGTAATTCAAATTTTGCTTTTACTTTTTCTTAGGATATATACAAACTTTGAGGAGTTATTTTGGCATATTTCGTTATTTTATTTTTAGTAGTATTTTAGTTAGGGTAAAACACTTCTTACATCCTTCAGCACATGATTTTGGATTTGCCAAAACTATAATAATATTTATCTTGGTAAGATGCAATTAGACGTGACCCGGGCTGGCCGGCCCGTCGACCCGACCCTGATCCACCCCGATCAAACTCGTTGACCACGGGTCCGAGTCCGGACTGGATTTTCGATGGGCCGTTTCAGGGTCATTATTTCATGACCCTAGCCCGGTGGGCCGATGACCCATTTATTTGTTTATCTTTATATTATTCTATATTTTTTTCTTTAAAAAATGATGACTCGGCCCTAACCCAGCACGAGCATAGATCTGTGCCAGTTCAAGATCCATGAAACCCAACTCGAAGTCAAGCGGGGCAGGCCGGGCCATGACCCGCCCCAGATTTTGACCACGTCTACATGCAATTTGAGTTTCAAGATCACTCATAATTTGTAACATCCAGCTAAACATTGCCAATTGTAGATACTCATGAAATTTAAATTACATCATATATATATATACAATGTTACATCTTGCAAAATCATGTTATAAATTTTGTTGTAACCTTTTATTTTTTGTTTTTTTGGAATCACTCGACAATAATGTGGGCCGCATGAAAAAAAAAAAAATAAGGAAAACTGGAAATTAAAAACGTGGCATTTGGGAAAAATCCACGAGGGCCCGAGGCTATCAGCATCATAGTTCATGCTGAGCGGCGGAGATAACTTGCGTAAACTACTAACCAAGTACCTACAGTAATAAAAAAAATAAAAATAAAACACCACGTGTAAGAATCTGAGCCGCTCTAAAAACCACACAATTATCACAAACCACCACGTAGACTGACGTGACATGGTGTGGCTTTCGGCTGCTCAAGGGAATCCACGAAAGCTTTAAAGTAGTTGTTGGAAACATGATTGTTTGTTGTGATTCGGTGAGTCTTGTCTAAATACAGTAATATTCACCACCTCTCTAAAGTGTTCGAAAAAGTTGCCCAAATGTGTAGCAACTTGTATTATTGGGTTTCTTTTTTTTAAAAAAAAAAATCATAATAATTAAAGAAATATGATGAATTTTTTTATGAGTGTTATATTATTATTTATATCTTCCTAAGAATCAACTAGGGTTGTAAACGAATCGAATCAAAGCGAATACTCAGAGATTCGATTCGGATTCGTTAAAATATTCGAAGATTCGAATTCGTATTCGATTCGTTAACGAACTCATTTTTTGATTCGTATTCGATTCGTTTAGAATATTCGAACATATTCGATTCGATTCGAATTCGTTTTCAAAAAAATTATAATTAAAAAATATTATAATTACAAAAAATAATTTTTATTTTTTATATATTTTTAGGAAAATTTGTTAATTTATAATGTTTTCAATTTTATGTCATAAAAATAGTAGAAATATAGCAATATATATATACATATATTATAAACAAAATGTATACTATATATAATTTATAAAATTTATATAATTATTGCTAACGAATCGAATATTCGAATTTCGAATCGAATATCTACAAATTCGAATTCGGATTCGTTTAACTTTCGAATATAAAACATTATTCGTATTCGAATTCGAATTCGAATATTTCGAATTCGAATCACGAATATCGAATTCGAATATCGAATCGAATCAAAAAAGTTTGATTTGTTTACAAGCTTAAAATCAACATATGTATCTATTTAAAATTATGGTGCAAACCAACGGGCAAGGAAGACAAGGAATGCAAAGAAGTGATGCAAACAAAGAGACGAGTGCTAAAAATGAAATAAATAACCAATATGAAATTATCGTTCATTCATCACTAGTCACTTATAAATAGTTATTATCAAACACAGCTAATTCACAACATTACGTGTGATGAAGCAAATAATGAACATAACTATAATTATTAAACATGGCAAAATATTGTAGTAAAGCATATAATGAACATGAAAAGTAAAATATACAAATAGTGTGTTTAAATGTGTATGCTTCAAGTTCAACAGTAAAAAGTAAAAAATCTAATGAGGTAAGATCAAACCATTATTCCCCACAAACCAATTTTATATCAGCCCTTTCATTTAACTTCGGAGGACTCATTTCCTTTTGTTTTAATGAAAAAGAGAAAAAGAAAAATGGGAAAAGAAAAGAAAAGGTCATTCATACATGCACCTTTCTTGAACCACGTTATAATTAGCCACATTTGTGAACAAGAACGATTGGTTGTTACAACTCTTACTTCTGAATCTTCAACCAAACGTTTGAAGCTTAAAATCAGTTAGAGTCACCCAAAGTATAATGTTCCTTTTTTCCTGCAATACCGTCCAGATATTATTCATTCATTCAGATTTCAGACACTTAAAAACTTAATTCAATTGACTTCAAATGTTCTAATGATATCATAGACCTCAATAATAATCTTTGTAGAAACTCAATGCAACAATTATTACACGTGAAGCAATCAATGATATTTCTCTTTGATGGTTAAGAAGTTCAAAAAACTATCCCCAAGCAGTCTGTCACAAAATTTATTCCCCACATCACCAAGTCATCATCCCATGTAAAGCACTATAATTATAAACCTTGATATTAAGGAAAATGGTATAAAACATAGTTGAACCTTCGACATAAAAAAAAACAATAAAAAGTGAAAATTAAAATGTGATTTGCAGCTTATAAAAGGAACAATTATGAGACTAAATGGCTTAGGTATGGCAAAGCTTTCAGTGATTGCCCAGCGTAGCTAAATATAGAACAATCCATACTCTGTGGAGAAACATTCATTTGTAGCCAGCACATGTACACATTTGATTTATGTTGGCCATTCAAATTATGCCTCTCCTTTGCAATTGTTATCCAAGCATTATATTCCAATCATAGTATAATCACAAAACATGCACAAACATACTAACAATATCCCCAAAAATGAAACTTCATACCTCTTGTCCATTCGTGCATGTGGTAGAGAATCACTGCTTCTGTTAAATAACTTGCATTTTGTCGAGCAACCATTGACCGTCAATTAATACCTAAAAGAAGGTTCATTATTCGCACACGTACATCTCCTTCATAACAACCACAAAACAAACACACACACACACAGGCCGAGCAGGNAAAAACAAAAAAAAAACGCACACTAAAGGAACAGAGTGCAAATTTGATTCTAAGCTAACTTGTATCTGTGATTTTTCCAAAAAAGGAGGAACAGAAAATACTTCCATTGCTAGTTCCAGTTCTAAAACCTCATAACTGATGTCTAAGAATAGTTGTACAAACAAAATGCAAGAGAAAAAAAAAATTAACAACTCAAAGTTGTATACTGACTCATAATTCTCTCCTGCTGGTAGCAAGATCACTGGCAATATCGTTGGGATCACGTTCGAAATCATCGAGATACACACTGTACGCGGGATCATAGGCAACTGCCTTGTGCAGGTACGCCAACGCATCTGCTTTGCGGTCTACCGTCAATAAAGCACTAAAAGGAGCCAAACCACAATAGATAGTTATTATTGGAGTAATCACAAAATAAAGACAGGAAATTGAATCTTTTTAGGGTGACATAAATTTAGGGTTAATTACAAAAAACAGCCGAAAATGTCACTACTCTTAAACTAAAAAGCGAGGTATCTTTCCAAATTAATACCTTGAAAGGACAAGTAGACCATCATAGTAGTGGGCCTTGCTCTTGGGATGTTCAGGCTCTTCTAGTTGAGCTATTCTTTCTAGATGTAGAAGACCCTCTTCCACTTTTCCCTGAAAACAAATAAATAGGTGGAGGCTAGAAAAGTTTAACTTGAAGTTTCTTAATATCCAGATTTCAGGCATTCATTCCAAATGTTAGAGCCTTTTTAATAATATATCACCATTTTCAAGAAATATATGTATATCTTCCAGTAGAGCAATTTGCAGCTTATTATTATCCCTGCCATAAGTTAATCTGCAAAAGGATCACCATTATCTAATTACAAAATCTTAATCTACACTCTCCAATGCAAAGGGTGCTACTAGAATTCTACATTCTTTTATAAGTAATCAATGCAACTAACATACATGTAATAAGAAATCATTTACGGCAAAGTAGGATCCTCATCATTTTCATTAATTTTCAGTGGCTCAATGCACAAACTAAAAATATATAGCATATAGTTATAATTTCACACGTTTTTAAAATTAAACCCTTGAGAGGATAAAGATATATTCAGAAAGTTATGGACTGGAGAACTAGAACAACGGAAATTTTTAATTCATTTCAGCAAGTGATGTCTTTTAAGAGACCAGTTATATTTCGTTAAAGAGTGGATAAAAGAGGAGTTGGGTCATCACATGTGGTTGGAAGGTGTTCAGCTAGTACCTGATGCACATTTGCAATACCAGCCCACATAGATGAAAGAATTAAAAGATCAACTTCTTCAACTCCTGTAGGATAGCCAGCCTCAAGGAGCTGCGCAGGGAGCGAGACCAAACTCTTACGGGGATATATTGGTGAGTAAAAAGCTCATGGTTAAATTAGAAAAAACACGTCACATCTGATAAACAGAGATATTCCGCAGGCAGATCAAAAACCTTTTGATAATGCTTTAACCCAGAGAAAATTTTAAGGCTGAACACAATATTGAAAGTTTTAATCATACCTTTGAAACAGCATTCTCCAGCCACCCAGCAGCCTCAGCATATTGTTTGTCTTGTAATACCGTCTGGCCCATTATAAGCAAAGCTCTTACGTTCCCAGGATCCTTCGTTAGAGCAAGCCTACAGTTCATGTTTCAGCTTAAGCAGCATAAACATTCAAGAGAAATGCAGCCACCAAAGACAAAGGTTTGATTTACCTTAATAGTCTGATTGCTGTATCCTTGTGGCCATCAGTTAATATTTTGACTGAATACTGTCAAAATTTGCAGAGACAGATAATTAGAAAGCATCCATGGAACTCGGAACGTTTTAAAGGAGAATTATACAACATCATCACTCACAGCAACCAACACTGCAGGTGATAGGTCTACAGCAGGGATTTCTCCTGTCTTTGTCAATATCATAATATCTGCTACTTCCGAGCTGCCTCTTTCTTTATTAGGTGGAGCTAACACTGGAGCATTCTTTGTAGGAAGCCCCAAATACTCGAGGAATCCAGGATGGCGGAGGCATAATAGCTGCAGGCAAAAAATAAATAAATAATAACATACAGAAACTCAACATCCGTGCCATGATAAATGTGGATTGTTATTGCTGCTAGAAACGAACAAGAGGAATGGTTAGAAACTAAGATAAGGAGAAGACAAAATAACAGCTATTCTTTCTCATCCGTGATCCGCCTGAACGAACATACCATCTACTTCACATTTTATCTCCCCTACCTACCTTGGATTATCATTGTCTGGGATACAATTCTGAGGGTTGAATTTACCAACTTCCACACGAGCACCTCCCCCCAGCCCTAGTTTCAAGAATCCCAGCTGCACTTTCTGTGCAGTCCAACTTTTAAATTCATATCCCGCTAGTAACTTGCAGGTAGGCCCACACATTAAGTCCAAGGCATAAATTTCTACGAGATGAAACTGCACTAGTTTATAATAAGCTTCTTATAGTTATATCAATTTGCATGGGCAACGGCATTCATATCACTAAGTAGTAAGTACTGAAATAATAAGGTAATGGAATAATGTAGACACATCAAATCAACTAGGATAACTTAAAAAAAAAAAAAAAGAACATTATTATAAGAGAAGTATCACTAATATGACCACCAAAAGATGCTCCAATCGAAGTAGAAAAAACTTGTCTAATTTACCGAACAGGACTACCAACCTGTATCAAACTCAATGAACTATTTGTAAGCCAATATACTAAGCTTCCCTGCAAGTATGAACAAGAGATATGGAAGTCAGGGAAATAAGCCAGAGAAGAAAGAAAATCAAGTCATTGCATATTCGTGATATAATGTCATTGGAAGATAAAGCCAGCATTGAAATTCAAGTTTGAAAAATTTTGTGTGATTCATGCAGCAGCACAACGCTTTTTGAAAGGTGTTAGTGTTGAATGGATCACTGACTCATCTTGCTTGGAAGTGATCAACATGGAACGACATTAAAAAAGTTGGAATAACATACATCCAGAAGGCACATACATGAAATATATACCTGGGGAACATTGAAGGCAGCAATCAAAATAGGCAGAGTCAGCACTTGCAGATATATCTTGTATAGCTAACAACAAAAGATGGAATCACATCGTAAGGACTTGTTTCAAATACCTGACTAATTGAAAAGCATTAAAGAAAACCGTCAAATCAATTATTTTCAAAAAGAATAATATTTACTTTCAATGGTTACAAGGAGACTGGCATGGTGTGGATTCTAAAATACCTAAAGACATTGAAACATATGGGGATCAAAACCTACATAAGCCAGAATAATACCCTTATAAAGGGTGATCGTACACTCGACTGCAAGCCCATGGTCTCAAAAATAATAATAATAATTAATAATAATTAAAGGATCCAGCAAAGGCAAGAACAAGTTATTAAGAAGACAGTGAGCATATAGACAACTCATATAACTTCTAAATGCTCACCTTTAGCAATAATCTAAAGGAGCCTGGAGCTTGTTGAAGTGATGATTTTTGGAAAGATATCTGCAAAGGTATATTATGTAACACTAGCATGTCAGTTTAAAAATGATAATTAGGGAAAGAATGGATGTCGAGGGTAACAAATAAGCAGTCAAAGTGTTAGATCAGGGATCATACTAAACTTTCGGTCAGTTGGCAAATAACTTTGAAATATCGAACGTCTGGATGTGAATAACATGTTTAGAGCTACCAAGTGTTGTGGACAAGTCCAATGGAGTCCATGGGAGCATAACCAAGTTAATAGAAAACTTGACATGGCCAAAATTAGGTTCACATGCTAGGTCTACAGTCTGATTGAGGCCTATAGATTTATACTGTGAAAGAGATAAACTGATAGCCCTTGCTGAACAGAATTATAAAATGTTCCTCTAACACCAAATCCTCCAGCTGTTCCATCTCATACACCAACTCAGAAATATAACTCCATCGGCTAGATAGAAATAGTATAAGCTGTAGACACATATTATTCCACTGGCTGGACTATATAACAAGGATTTTAATGCTTGGAACAGAACCAAGATAAGTGAAATCTAAACCTGAAAGCCATGATGGGGCATCACCAAACAAAGCAGTGATGCTTCCAGGAGGACTTGTTGTTAACCTATTATAAACTTCATCCCCAACACTGGTGTCTCATTTACCACAATCAAATGCATATCTGTAATCATAAGCAAGAGTAGAATTGAGGTCTAAGTACTCTTAGAGTAGTGTCATAAACCTGAATATTGGTGAAATGCAAGCCTGCAATGAAAAATGGGAAAACGAGCCCCAAAGCACCATGTGGGTATTCAGTCAAATTATGGAACCATAACATTCCTCCCTGTAAATATAAGAAATTATTACGTTATCATTAATAAACAAGAAGCATGCACACACACACATAGAGAGAGAGAGAGAGGAAGGGAGGGAGGGAGGGAGAAAGGGGGCATATACTAATAACACTTGAACTACAAACACGCATTGTTTGAAAGTGCCTTACAGTATCAAAACCTGGGTGATGTTCCAGTGACATTCTGCGAACACTCATGAGCCACATGAAAAAACAAGGGACCTATAATAATTACAAGACCGAGTTACAGAAGTATGGAACTCCATTAAATAAATTCAATTACACACATCCCATCTAGGGTTCTGGCTAACACTTAACCCTACGCATCTAAAAGGCTATTTATTATTGCAACTAGGTAGAACTTCGAATAGAAAATGTTGTCAGCTAATAATAATTTTCAACCAAATGCTTTCCAAGACAGAGAACAATTGTAGCAACAACATAGGAGTGACACCAATATCTAAAAATTAATTTGAGGACCATGGAATGTTTCCTACTAAAGAATGCATGACTCTAGTTGAATGATTGTTTGATTTGCATCAGCCAAACCAAAAGTAGTTCACTACTGTTTGCCTTCGACTGTTTTCCAAGATATGATGGAACTTATATATGCAGGACTACTGGTCACAAGACCCTGGTAGCATGTAAAGTTAGAATGAAGCACGTTCAGAAACTCGCACGATTACATAAACATGTCATCTGCGAGAATGAGACGCTTATTCTCTAGGGGTTAACATAACATCTGAGTAGCAAAGGAGACTATGACTGTGACCTGAACAGCAAATGATGAGAACCACCAAAACACAGAAGGGCACCTAGCAGCCTTCTTTTCCTTCAAGAAAAGGGCAATCTGGTTCCTGAAACTTTGTCCTGACAGAGGTGGCGGAAACGGTGGAGGTACTGATAGAATTCACAATAACAAAAGAACAGTTATTTGATACATTCCAGAAAATCAGTTCCAATCACATGATATTCTAGCATAATATGCATATATCAGATAATACAAGAACAGAAAAGAGTGAATAGGAGGCCGCAGGATTGCCTCGTTGGTCTTGTCATTGTTAAACTTTACTTTCAGTGCTAAGTAGAAGAGCTACTGAGCTAAAAGGGATAGAACCACAACATAATGCATCTATATCAAAAAACTCGGGTGTAAGCGGTAGCAGATGAGCATACAGATCTTGACAATCACTCATATGTAAAGAGCTTTTGACAAGCAATCGAGGACACGTGTAAAATACTCACATGTAGGTAGCAATTCTCCTATTCTCCTCAATTTTTTGAGTTGCAACACGACAAGAGGAAACAATGCAAGTCTCATTGCCACCGTAGATGATGATATTATAAACCACCTACAAAAATAATTTGATTCATTCTGCTTCCAACAGAGTACAGGCCACGTAAATAAGTCAGTGAATTCCAAATGTCTTCTCTAATCAAAAGAAAAAGACCCTAAAACTGAGATCATGATTGATTCAAACAAATAAAACAGAGATAAATAGTCATTTCAACAACAAGCCTGATTGAAGTAACAGAGTTTGAGAAAACGAGAGCATGGAGCTCGAGCCCAATCACGATCATAGATACATATACAATTGCGGCCGTGCTAACGAACAGTGAAACGAGCTAGGTATATCGTACTCACCAAGGAAGACCAGTCGCATCGTGATAAGAATCGAGCATAGATATGACAGCACGTACCGGAAGGATCGGCTCGTCTGATCTGGGGAAATCGGGCTGAGTCGATAATCTACGAGCAAATGAAACGCAATCATGAGGTGAGAGCGAGCGCAGCTCCGGCAACCACCGAGGGTTATAGTTGCGGTGCCCCTTGCGGTGGTGCAGGTGGTAGTGTGAACTACTGCTGAGTATATAGTGGGAAGAATAAGGTGAGGAGAAGAAGGAGGAGGTGTAGTGGCGGAAAAAATGTTGGAGTGATGGTAGCGTCGGCGGCGATGGCCGACAGCGGCGGAGTTTTGATGTAAAGCGAAGCATATTTTACATGTCCACTGCGCAGCGAAGTGTGGAGGACAAAATCAAATTGATATGCAAAGTAAGTATATGCCTATTTTTCGTTTTTGCATCAAATTTCATAATTAATTAATTTTTGCTCAAACGTTTTATAATATTAATCAATTTTATTCTAAAATTATGAAATGCTCAGATAATGGATTTCAAAAATTTGTTTATTATTTTGAAACATTCAATTCAACTTATTTGACGCTACTTTTAATTTTATCATATAATAACTCGAATTTCGATGGATCGTTGTTGAAGTTTTTAAAATTTTGAAATCAAAATGTATCTAAATCAGTACGTAGTCGTGTGATGCACAAATAAATAATGATAAATCGTATAACTAAAGCAATTAAAAAATATTTACTAGTAAAAATAATTTTAAATATTAATATTATTTTTTATATTTTCTTTATTTTTGTTATATATAATAGTTTGATATGTGATTTATATGTTTATTTCACTCATCATAAAATAGTTGGCACTTTAAGGAACATGAAAAATTAACAATTCAGACACTATCAATAAATAATACTCACATAAATATGTATCTCTTTTCCGTTACATATACATTATTACACTATATTGTTTTGATTTTGATTATTAAATAAGTGATGGTAAAGTAAAAAAACGACAAATGTTATAAGCCGAAATATAAAAGATTGATCATGAGGACATTCGAATGGGGATGATCAAATGGCACAACGTCTTCATCCGAGATAGTGACTGGGTTTGTTTAGAAGAAGGTCGTTGGCTTGAACTTGGCATTTCATACCTGCTGTCCGGCGTTATATACGCGTATAGCGTATGTCTTTATTTGTCTTCGGGAGACGACTAGCTCTCCATGACTAGTATGAACGAGGCGGATTGGGGACAATCTCCTTGAGTGTGATTCCGTCGTTCTTTGGTTTGTCTTGTGCTCAAAGTCATGGCTACTCTTTTTAGTTTGGGAAGAGCTATATCTCGTTCTCTGGATTCGCAAGAAGTTCCCTTTCATTCTCGTTGTCGTGGTTGTCTTCAGTTCGAACCCATCTTCGTACTTAAGGGTTTCGCGTAAATTTCCTAACTTGAGGATTTCCAATGAGTTTCAACAATTCTATTATGAGGTTGCAACATTGGGTTGTGTTGTGACCGTTAGATTTGTGGTATGCATAGTATCGCGATTTCTTGAGTTAGTCATTGTTGGCTCGAATTGGTCTTGGATCTCGGACGATATTTTTTTTTTTCAATCCATTGTACATGGTGGTGGCCATTGTCGAATATAATCCGTGATAACTGGCCGTCAACTCTTTTTGTTGTGTTTCCTCAATGCCGGCTAGTTCGGGCATCCTTCGCGGGGTCCCAACCTGTCTTCTTGTCCTTTCCCTTCGTGTTAGAGTTGTCTGTGAGTTTGAATGACGATACTAACATAGACTCCTCGTCGATCACGTGTTGTTGTGCTTGCGCCAAAAGCTCCTGATAGGTTTGCGGTTCGTTCTGACATAGTGACCAACAAAACATCGAGTTCATCTTCAAGCCAAAATACGTTGACCCCAACAACATCTCCTAGTGATAAGACTCCATTTTTTGTACGCGTTTGTTAAATCAAACGATGTAGTCCTTCAAACTCTCTTTATCGATTAACTCTTTTGGTATCATACACACTCGAGAGTCGAAGAAATGAGACCTGAAGGCCATTTTGATTTGTTGCCAACTTTTCATAGAGTGTGGGTACAATGACTGGGACCACCTTTGTGCTCTAGAACCCAAGGTTACGGAAAATATTTGGCACTTGAGGGCATCTCCAGCCCCATGCAGATCCATCCATGAGGTATAAAGTCATAAATGGGCGTCCAGATCCGAGCTCCCATCATACAACCCTATTTGAGGTATTTTTATCTTATCTTGCAAGTGGTCGAGCATAATATTAAATGATAGCGGAGAGGCCAATTCGACTGGAGGCCTACGTGAAAGCAAAGGCGGTGTCAACGAGTCTTTACGAGTCAATTTTTGTTTGGCTTCTAGTTCGGCCACATTTTTCTTCAAGGCCATGATCTCTGCAGTGTCGTGTTTCGTCACCCAACTCCTTCGTATCTTTTCTCTAAGGTTAGGCTTGGCTTTTTTCCATCCCAAGCAATGGAACACCAAGGGCGTGGTGGTCCTGGTTTGAAAACTACTCTCAGACATGCTCTTTCAAACCCCCTCCCTTTGGACTCGGTCAAAGATCTTTCATTTAGGTTTTTAATAGTCATTAAGGGATTGTGAGGTCGGTTGTGACTGGGACTGGTTTTTTTTCCTTTGTCTTGTACATTATTAAGGTATTCTTTGGCACATGTCTTTGGTATGGTAAAGGGAGACGGTAAAGTTTGTGCCAACAGATTTGAAAATCCTTTAAAAAAATCAGGTAACAACGATGCAAAATCAATGTTGGGCCCACCATTGCTGTGTTGTTCGGCCCAAACGTTTTCACGTTGGTTATCTTGGCTTGATGATGACATTTTTTTGTCAAAAGGGTGTTCTTAAGGTAGAAGATTAATTTAAAAACAATTGAAACTCTCCTTATAGCGTCAAACTGTTGTTATACAAAATAGTAACAACGAAATTAGTATTCTGTAATAAAAAAAAAAAAGAAAAAACTAATTTTTTAGTAGTCATCCACCGAACTAAATTGCAGTTCGGTCTTTTTCTTTGTTATTTACTCTTGGGTATATAATCTCTCTCTTTCTCTATATTTTTTTTTTTTGTTACAATGGCTCCTCGGCCTATTTATATGTCGATACAATTGAATACTGTGCGTGTGTAATACAACTTTATGTAAAGTACAAGTGTACAACAATATTTAATGCCTAACAATTACGGCTCAAATCTCCATTATGATCGACGGTCTGCTATCCAAACACGTGTACCCGACAATTTGGAGCCTGGAGGTTAGTTGTCTTGTCAATAATTAATTCCGTGCAAGTTATCTATCGGATGGATCTCACGGTTTGCCATTTTGACTCGACCGTTTACTGCTGACACGTTTTGAAAAATATTTTATATAGTATGAGATATGATATATAATGCCAAAAATAATATTATCATGGTATCCAAAATAAAAATAATACTTTCTTTTTATTCAACTTTGGAATGCTTTCGAAGTTAAACGTAAGAATAAATAAAAATACAATATAACATGATCTTATATTTGATAATATTTGAATAAACAATTTAATTAGTTAACATTTACAGTTTAGTTTTAATTAAAATTTTCATCAATTTAAAGGGACAATATTTGGACTCTTTTTGTGCAATCCAATCTTTAATTTTAAAATATAAGTTGAATATTATTTACTAGTAGTGAGTAGAGATTGCCAATATTTACTAACATTTGAAAAAATTCCATTCACCTGATTAAATAAAGAAACAGACCATTAAAGAAAAAATACCGAATAAAAGCAAATTAATTTAAACTAGTAATCAACCTGTGCATTTACACAAATGAGAATACTTAGAAAAGACAACAATATAAAAAAAAATCCATAATCATAATTTAATTCATGAAAAAAAATATGAATTAAAAAATAATTCTAAATATTATTAAACACTTGCATTATTAAAACATTTGAGTCGAAATTATCTACTGAACAAATAATTGCATTATAAACAGTTGTTGAATTGGGATGGATAACATATTAAAAAAACGTGGTGAATTCGACTTAATTTTTTATTAAAAAACTTGTAAGGGTGACTTGGGTCGATATTCTCAGTAAGCCTCTTTGTTTAATAGTCCGATTTAGTAAAGCCCAAAAAATAATATTTCAAATTAAACCCAATACACATTGTTTTGAAAAAAAAAAAAAAGAATCAGGTAACCGATTACCACAAAATGCGTTACAAAACCATCGACTTAAATAATCCAAACACTCCATGATTCAAGCTCATTTCTCTCTTGTTATCGTCGGATCACGCGTTTTTTCTGTGTAAAAAAATATACAAGATCTCATTTTTCAAAATTATTAGAGGAAAAGAAAAAAAAGCAAGTATAGATATAAATGCTCGATTTTAGCTAACATTCATGCAATTAATAGACTGATTAGGTGATGTAAGAAGATTTACAAAAAACATATTAATATTATAATATCTATAACTGCTTTAGGCATGAACATAAAGTAATATAATTAAATGATGAATGTTTAGTCGGAATAATGTAATTGAATGCAAGATAATATAATTTAATGCTTTGTTGTTCCAAATTATATACATATAAATATAATAATCAACCTGTGCATTTTAACAGAGAAGAATACTTAAAAAAGATAACAACATAAAAAAAATCATAATTAAATTCATGAAAAAAATGAATGAAGAAAATGATTCTCAAAATTGATTTTGATCAAGTAATTGCTATGGAAGAACCGTTACAACCATTTTCTTTATGCCAATACATTCGGCCATTTTCATGAATGATTATGACTTAAAATTTGAGTTCAATTTTGTAATTTCCTTGATGGATTTATGCTCATAATTTATGCATGCAAGTAAGTTATTTTGTAACTTAAAAATGAAATTAAATATTGAAAATTTTGGAAGGATAATAAAATTTAATACATGATAATATAATTTAATGGTTTGTTGCTCTTTATATATATATATAGATTTTACCTTTTTTGTATTCCATTTTATTATCAAAAGCCACATTTGGCGCATAAGTAATTGGCGGCAATAAAATAGTTGAAAATATTTCCCCCAAAAGTTTGAAAAATTAGCGCCATATTTCCCCCGCAATCCGCAGTGCTTTCCCAAGAAGCTCAACTCGTCCTGCCATTTATTACACTCGCATTTTTTCACAGTGTACATGTTAGGGTTAAGACTCGGTTTACAGTAAAAACAACAAAAAATGGTGGTTGCTGCTCGTGTAGAAGCAATGGATCCTGAGGACGGTAAGCTCTCGTTCATCATTTAATTCTCTTTTTTTTCCCCGTTTTTTTAATATCATCGACATGTTACTTATGGAAATGGCAATCGCCAGTGGTTTGTTTGATTTGGAAGCATTGCTGTTTGAATTCGTGCATTGACGTTTGTTTGATCCTTATTTAATTTTCATTTTTTTCTGTTGTGAATCGAGAAATGGAAGTTCCGGATTTATACGTTGAGTCAGTAAAACTTGTTCTGAGGTTCGGAATATTACCTGGAGGTTTGGGTATCGAGATCGTGTTGTTATTAGACTGCCAAATTGTAGTATAAAATTAGGAAATCTTGGTGCTCGGTGTGTTGATTTGGTCAGCACAAGTAAGATTATAGGCTGTTTCAGAACTGAATTAGAAGGAACTAATTAATTGTTGTTTTATTAGTACTTTGTCAGGAGTGATTTATAATTGTTACTTTTCTGTGCACAAGTAAATCCAGTTAAAACTTCCTATATAATGCTGTAAAGTTCAATTATTTATAGATATAGGTTACATATATCAACACTGTGTTTGCATGTACATGCATTGGATAGAATGGTAGTGTCCATTTCATCGGAAGATATGGATATACCATTTACATGCATATAAGGACTTTCACTTGCTAGCAGAAGCTGGATTTTTGTGGAATGTTTGTCGAGCTGAAGTATTAAAGCTGTGTTAATTGGCATTTGATTGTTGCTGGCCATTTTGTTTTGTGAAGCCTGAAATGTTATGTTGAACCACTTCTTTGTGGGATGGAGTCCTCATATGCATAAAAACTCTACTTATTTGGTTATGTCTCACGTGCTTGGCCCTAATTGCGTCAATATATGAAGTATTAAATTTATAAAGCTCATTACATAACGTATATACTAATTTTTGGTCACTTATAGCATGTAATGCATGAACATTTGCATTTCCGAAATTGGACGTTAAATATGTGTATTTGTTTGCGGGGTTGGCAGTTTCACTTGCGTATTTTCTAAATTTGAACATTGGAGATGTGAACTGTGTAATTGACATGATCTGATCATTCATAAAGTATTGTTATTTAGCCTGAAAACTATTGAAAGCTACAATATTCATACATGTGTCTGCCTGTATTGTGTTTAGTCCAGACACTTCTAGAACTAAGTTCAAATGCCTGTCGTGTCCCATTCCTAATGTTGTTATAAGTAATCTTTGGTTTCAATATGTGTAATATTTTCCAACTAAAACTCATCCATACCACTTATAATTTGATGATTTGATTTGATTGACACATTTATGTTTTGTGATAATAAATGCCTTTTGACTAGATACAATTACATACTATTGTTTATTCTGCTTCAGATTACAATATACTTTTATCATTCTTTTCTGCCTAGATTTCCATATGATATATTTGAAGGGTTTCAATCCAAAAATCCTTGAATTGCTACGTTTGTGTTTTGGTTCTATTTTGTGTTGAGTATCTTCATTTTTTCACACTGAATCTGTTGTTTTGAGTTTGATATAGGGCTGAAAAAAAGTAAAAACAAAGTGGTTTCGGTGTCTGAGAAGAAAAAGGCAACTGACAAACAACAAAGAAAGAGAACGGCCTCCCAGATTGTTGAGGTCCTTGAGGACCCCGCTTATCATCGTAAAATGCCCAAGCGAGCAGCTGCTTGTTCAAATTTCAAGGAAAAGAAGTCTTCTCGTATATCTGGAAAAGACATGGTTCTTGAAATAAAAAAAGATCGAGTCATTGAAGAAGAACTCGTAGCTCTTCGTCTGACTGCTGAACATGAGGACGGTCGCCCATGCAGGCGCCTCACTGATTTTACCTTCTGTAATTCAGAAGGAATTGCACAGCCATTTGAAATGCTTGAAGCAGATGATATCTTTATAACTGGTCTCATATTACCGCTTGAGGAAAGTTCTGACAAAGAGAAAGCACGAGGAGTTAGATGTGAAGGATTTGGGCGAGTTGAGGAATGGGCAATATCTGGTTATGAAGAAGGGTCCCCGGTGATATGGGTTTCCACAGAGTTGGCTGATTATGATTGCTTGAAACCCTCTGGCAGCTATAAGAAGTTCTTCGACCATTTTCATGCGAAAGCTAGTGCTTGTATTGAGGTTTATAAGATACTTTCCAAATCTTCGGGATGCGACCTATGCCTTGATGAGTTGCTTGCTGGGCTTGTACGCTCAATGAGCGGGATGAAGTGCTTCTCTGGCAGTCTATCTATCAGGGATTTTATTATTTCCCAGGGAGATTTCATATATAACCAACTTATAGGCTTGGACGAATCCTCCATGAATGATCTGCGATTTGCTGAGCTGCCTATTCTAGCTGCCCTTAGAGATGAAAGCAAGAAATTGGATATTGACCAACCTCAACCTGGCTCCTTCTCAGGGAATCTAAGAATAGGTCCAAAATGTGGGGGTGAAAATGAAATTAATCAACCCGATTCTGCCTCTTGTCCAACAGAAGAAGATGATGATTTGAAAATAGCAAGGGTGTTGCAGGAAGAAGAACGCTGGCGCTCGATGAAGCAGAAGAAAGGCCGTGGCAAGAATTCATCTTTGAGCAAATACTACATCAAGATCAATGAGGATGAAATCGCCAATGACTATCCTTTACCTGCCTATTATACGACATCAAATGAAGAAACTGATGAGTATATAATATTTGAAGGTGGCAATGATGTGTTGAACGTCGAGGACTTGCCCCGAAGCATGCTGCACGACTGGGCTTTGTACAATTCGGATTCTCGGTTGGTTCCATTGGAACTCCTTCCCTTGAAACCTTGTGATGAGATTGATGTGACCATATTTGGCTCGGGCATAATGACTACTGATGATGGATCAGGATACATCTGTGATGGTGAATCTGCTTACTCTTCTAGTGGTTCTGCTGCTACTGCTGAAGGGATCCCAATTTTCTTGAGTGCGATCAAAGAATGGGTGATTGAATTTGGCTCGTCAATGATTTCCATTTCTATACGCACTGATATGGCATGGTACAACACTCCTACCTCGGTTTATATTTCCATTTTTGAATGAAAACTTGTATAGCATTGCAGCTGATGAATTGGATGCCATCTATTCAGCCCCTTTACTTCTTTTATCTATAAGTTTGTCGTTGGCATTTTCTGGAATTCTTCTCTTGAAACAAAGTTGCACTGAGGATGCTTTTTGTTAGATGGTGGAATTTGGTTGCATGTAATGGAACCATTTATAGGAAGTATAGGTCCTAATAATAAGTGTACCAGCAAAAAAAAAACCCAAATCATAGGAGATGATTCAAGCGCTATACAATTTGGTTGTGCTTAGCCAATATTTGCTGTTAATTTTTGAGTTTCTCCAAATTTGTGAAGCTCATGCATAACTAATGTTCTGCTCATCCATTCTTCAGGTATAGGCTTGGAAAGCCTTCGAAGCAATATGCTCCTTGGTATGACCAAGTCCTGAAAACAGCAAGGCTTGCAATCAGTATCATTACTTTGCTGAAAGAGCAGATCCGTGTGGCTAGACTTTCTTTCATGGATGTTATCAAGAGAATTTCAGAGTTCACTAAAGATCAACCGGCTTTTATATCATCCAACCCACTGCTGGTCGAAAGATATGTGGTTGTGCATGGTCAGATTATTCTGCAGCAATTCTCAGAGTATCCTGATAACAACATCAAGAAATGTCCATTCGTGATTGGACTGACCAAGAAAATGGAAGAGAAACACCACACTAAATGGCTTGTCAAGAAAAAGAAGCTCCTGCAAAGGGACGAACAAAACTTGAACCCAAGGGCCAATATTGCACCTGTTGCTTCTAAAAGGAAGGCCATGCAGGCAACTACAACGAGGCTAATTAACAGAATCTGGGGTGAGTATTATTCCAATTATTCACCTGAGGAATCAAATGAAGGAACCCAATGCGAAGTTAAGGAAGTTGATGAAAATGAAGAGCAAGAGGACTATGAAGAGGATGACGCTCCCGAGGTGAAACTGTCCGAGCAGGAGAAAACTCAGACACCTAGTCCCGTGCCAAGACAGATCAAATCCAATTCGGGTAGCAAGGCAGTAAAGTGGGATGGGAAATCTGTGGGCAAATTATCTTCTGGTGAGCCTTTATATAGAAAGGCAATAGTCCATGGAGATGAAATTGTGGTGGGTGGGGCTGTTCTCATGCAAGATGATGAATCGGATGAATTCCAACCTATCTATTTTGTGGAATACATGTTTGAAAAATCAGATGGCAGTAAAATGTTTCACGGGAGAATAATGCAACGAGGTTGCCAAACTGTGCTTGGTAATGCTGCAAATGAAAGGGAGGTATTTTTGACAAATGATTGTGAGGACTTCCAACTGAAAGAAGTCAGACAGAGTATACACATTGATATAAGAGAAACGCCATGGGGTCATCAGCATAGGAAGGCAAATGCAGATGCTGATAAAGTTGATAGAGCAAGAGCTGAAGAAAGGAAAAAGAAGGGACTGCCTACCGAGTATTACTGCAAAAGCCTGTATTGGCCAGAGAGAGGTGCATTTTTTGCTCTTCCATATGGGTCAATGGGACTTGGATCTGGCTTGTGTCGGGCATGCCAAGTGAGGGAAGCTGATGATATCAAGGAAAAGTTCAAGTTGGATGAATCACTGACAAGTTTCACATACAGAGGAACTACATATTCTGTTGATGACTATATCTATGTGAGTCCTTACTACTTTTCTTCAGAAAGGGAAGCTGAAATCTTCAAGGCTGGGAGGAATGTTGGACTAAAAGCTTATGCCATATGCCAGCTGCTTGAAATTTGTGATGTTAAGCATTGCAAACAGAGTGATGCAAGTTCAGTAGAGATCAAGGTCAGAAGATTTTTCAGACCTGAAGACATATCATCTGAGAAGGCGTACTCATCGGATATTCGAGAGGTAACAGCTAACATTTCAAATTAAAAAATTCTATTGTACATTGTTTGTTATCTATGTTGATCACTGTATAATCATGTTGATTTGATCTCATATTTGTAATTTTGAGCTGACCAACAATACTTAAGCTTGATTTATATTAGGATTACTTAGTATTCAGATTCTTTATGTTTTCTAGGTCTATTATAGTGAAGAGACGCACAGCATATCAGTTGATGTGATTGAAGGAAAATGTGAGATCAGAAAAAAGAAAGATCTCGGACCTCAAGATGTCACTTTCACATTTGATCATGCGTTCTTCTGCGAGTATATGTATGATCCTTCTAGAGGATCACTTAAGCAGGTAATTTACCTTTTTCTTCACCAGATGTCTTCACTTCACACATTTTGGATTTTCCAGTGGAAGGCTTAATAGATTTTTGTTGTATGATTCAAGTTGATTACTTATTTTAGTCGCTTCAAATTTATTGTTCTTCATTTCTAATCAATGATCAATTTCCGTGGATATGCAGCTGCCATCACATGTCAAGATTAAGTATTCAACTGGGTGTTTGAATAATGATGCTACATCTAAGAAAAATAAGGGTAAATGCAAAGAAGGTGAGATTGATTCAAACGATGTGGAACTCAAAGAAGCGTCTCAGGGACACCGCCTAACTACGTTAGATATTTTTGCTGGCTGTGGTGGTTTATCTCAGGGACTAGAGCAAGCTGGTAATTTTAACTTGTCTGCATACATATTCTACTTTGAGCATAAGGTTTATAATTTACGTAACCATGGTTACTTTTTTATATCTCTATTTGTTTAGGTGTTTCTCTCACAAAATGGGCTATTGAGTATGAAGAGGCTGCGGGAGATGCGTTCAGACTCAATCATCCTGGATCTTTGGTATTTGTAAACAATTGCAATGTCATCCTGAGGTATATTTCTTGTAATGGATTATGAACTTACTACTGAAATCAGAAATTATAAATAGACTGGATGTAGCAATCAATAAAACAATAAAAATTGCAGGGCGATCATGCAGAAGTGTGGAGATGCAGATGAGTGCATCTCAACATCTGAAGCTGCTGAGTTGGCAGAAAAACTCGATCCGGTTGAACTTGATAACCTTCCAGTGCCAGGGCAAGTTGATTTTATTAATGGAGGGCCTCCTTGCCAGGTAAGTAAAAGATCATAGCTTTCTGAAATTCAAAAAATTATAAAACTTCAATGCTGAAAGTTGTTGGAAAATCCATTGTAGGGTTTTTCTGGAATGAATAGGTTCAACCAAAGCACCTGGAGTAAAGTTCAGTGTGAGATGATTCTAGCATTTTTGTCCTTTGCTGACTACTACCGTCCTAAGTATTTTCTTCTCGAGAATGTACGCAACTTTGTGTCATTCAATCAAGGGCAGACCTTTCGCTTAACTTTAGCTTCACTTCTTGAGATGGGTTATCAGGTACATATTGCATTTATTTTGAGGAGAAAATCGTGGATATGGATTTCCGGATTATTTTGTTTTGATGGTTATAATTACAAAAAGCTACCTCTGAGGTTTGACCTAGATATGAGGACCCAATATTCTTTCAAAATAAAAACTAAAAGGGGTTGTAATTTTATAAGGGACAGTAGTATAAAGTTGTAGTTTGAGTAAATTTCAGCTGTGATGTTGTTCTCCTTAGCTTATTTTATCTTTTTCCCTGATAAATTGTTGCATATATGAATCTAGGTGAGATTTGGTATCCTTGAAGCTGGTGCATATGGAGTTCCACAGTCCCGAAAGAGAGCATTTATATGGGCGGCATCTCCTGAAGAGCTGCTTCCAGACTGGCCTGAGCCGATGCATGTCTTTGCTGCACCTGAGTTGAAAATCTCAATGGCAAAGAATTTGCAGTACTCTGCTTCTAGGAGTACTACAAAAGGAGCTCCATTTCGTTCTCTTACTGTCAGAGATACAATCGGCGATCTTCCTCCTGTGGGCAATGGTGCATCAAACACAAGCTCACAGGTATAAACTATATCCACCAAAAACAAAAATGAAAAAAAAAAAACTTAAAAAACATAATAATTAATTACATATGTAATAACTTGGATTGGCTTGATCATAGGGTCTTGGTTAAGTAGAGAAAACCTCAGTAGAGACTTTTGGAATTGTCTTAAGTAAAAAGCTGAAACACTTATGGGCTACTAACCATTATTTGCAACCATGCTTTGTTTGATGCACATTTAATTTTTGTGAATGCAGTATCAAGGTGAGCCTATATCATGGTACCAGAAGAAAATCCGAGGTGGCATGGCTACATTAATCGACCACATCTCAAAGGAAATGAACGAGCTTAACCTAATCAGATGTCAGAAAATCCCCAAACGGCCTGGTGCTGACTGGCGGGATCTTCCAGATGAAAAGGTGCGCATAATCCAAATGACGGTGGTTCCGTATTAAACATTTGCAATTTTGGTTCCTTTGACTAAGTTGCCTTTTTTTTTGTTTTCTTCTAAATTTTGTTCACAGGTGAAATTGTCTACTGGCCAAGTTGCTGATTTGATACCATGGTGCCTACCTAATACTGCCAAGAGACACAATCAGTGGAAAGGACTGTTTGGGAGGTTGGATTGGGAGGGAAATTTCCCTACTTCTGTAACTGATCCACAACCAATGGGTAAAGTCGGAATGTGCTTTCATCCCGAACAAGACAGGATTGTCACTGTTCGTGAGTGTGCACGTTCTCAAGTAAGCCAGCTTCCTCATTTTTTGTTCATATCTCAAGAATATACTGTTTTTTTATGCATCAACAGCTGCATTTCCTTTCAAGCTACTTCAAATTTACCAACATATTAATGGATTCTTGGATAAATCAATTACTAGACATATCCAAAAAGTTTGATTCAGCAGTTCACAAAACATTGTCACATACTAAATGATTTATTTTTTTTAATCAGTTGTAAATTACTCATATCTTGCATATTTGGGTTTTGTCATAGGGCTTCCCCGATAGCTACAAATTTTCTGGCACTGTCCTGCACAAGCACAGACAGATAGGAAATGCTGTTCCTCCTCCACTAGCTTATGCACTGGGAAGAAAACTCAAAGAGGCAGTTGAGAAAAAACGCAATTCCTAACTATAAATTGCTTGTGTTCTCCAATTCAAATCTTAAGAATTGCATGTTTTTAAGATGTTTGGACTTGTCTATTTCTCTTGGATGACTATTTTTTGCGTGGTTCACATTTTTTTGGCAATTTGAACTGGCATAAGCATAGACCCTGATCAAACTTTGGCTTATTTGTTTTGCAATGAGGGGTGAAAATGTATGTATCTATGGAAAAACAAAGGGTTTTGTTTCACCTTGAGTGAAAGGTGTAAAGTTGATTGGAGATTGTTGTAACTGTGGAAATATTGTGGCTAGCAAGTAGAGGATATGGATTTTGGATTCTGGATTTTCCTTGTGTTTTGAACTTAGAAGTGATTCTCCATATAGATAGAAGGAGAGAACATTGTGTCAATATTAGAAATGCAGAATTCCAAATCCATTTGAAGACTTTTTTTTGTCCTTTTGGGCATGAAACTTTTGAAATTTGATATTTGATATGAGAAGACCGAAGACTTTGAATTCTTTGTTCCTTTGTTGGCAAATATATAAAATTTCTTAATTTTGCCATGCATTCATGTCACGACAGTTAAATATATTTATGTACTAATTTGTGAAGAATAACCACTTTTTTGTGTGCATTTCCAGATCCAATTATTCTCTTTTGGGATGTATTCTTTGTATTTTACATGTGATTTAATTTTGGTGGTTATTTATGAGCAAATCTATAAATAAATTTTGTTATACAAAACTTCATCATTATATATACTAGTAATTGGTTTGCATAATGGAATAGGGATCATAATATGAAAATATGAGTTAAATAAATTTATTATTTTTCTTTATGGAGAAGATTGTGGTTTTTCATGCCCACAAAATTCATACTTAGAATGTGTTTACTTTTACTTTTTTTTTTTCTTGAATTAACTATAAGCATCCTATGTTTAGCTTTCTTACAATGGACTTTCAAACAGACAACCTATTCATAGGTTTGGAAAAGTCAGAAGTCATGGAACTTATATGCATCTACTAGCTAATTTAGCACTTATACATAAACTATTTTAGTACATTAATTAGAAATTAAATTGCAACTGTCAATTAAATCATCAGCTCATAAATTAAATAGTACCTAACATTGTACCAATCACACAAAGATTTGTTGAAATCAATGCTTGAGTTGGTGGAGATGGTAAGTTTACACTAAATGGACTTAATAGTAGATTTAATAAACATAATCAAATCTGAGCGGTTAAATAATAAACTAACACAATAATGTTCTTATGCATGCCTAAGGATTTGTAGACGATCATATTTTTTCAAGATATGTACAAAGATAAAAACCAAAGCTCATATGTCAAATTATAATATAAACAAAACTATGACATTATACTTTATCATAAATGTAAAGACATAAATTATCGTTTGAGATTGCCTAATCATAAAAAATCGACCCGTCATACATTTAACAAAAATGCGTATATTATTAGTTTGACATTTCAATTTAAAATTACGCATGAGTATTGAAAAAATATAACTACCTAGCCGTTAGCATGTCCAATGAACGGTACGTTTGACGACCTCACACACAAAAAAATTGTCTAAAATATAATAATGAAATCCTTTTGTCATATTCTGACATGGCAGTCTCTTATTCGTACTGTTACTATACAAACAGCAAAAAGAAAAATATTCAAAAATAAAAATAAAAAAATCAACAAAGAGATTCAGATAAGATCATGAGATCGTTCCGTGTTATTTTCCGATCGCCGGACTGACTTCACTGTGTGAATCTCTAGTTATCTGCAGCTGCTAAACCTGTCCGGAGCTTTATCCGCAGCTGCTCCGAAAAAAAAATGGCGAGGAGCAGATCGTCGTCGAGCAGGTGGAGATATGTGAATCCGGCGTATTATTTGAAGAGACCTAAGAGATTAGCTTTGCTTTTAATGGTGTTTGTTGGCGCCAGTTTAGTTGTTTGGGATCGGCAGACTCTAGTTCGGGAGCACGAGGTAGATTTGATTTTTTTTTCTTCCCATTTTTAAGTTTGTTATGTGTGGAGGAAGGATCTGCAAGTTTATTGTTATGATTTTTTTTCCTATTTATCTAGGTTCTGTTTTTCCTTCCCCTTTTCATTTTATGCTGGTTTTGACGGTGATTACTGCAAAAGCTCAGTGTTTGTTGGTGGTTGATTCAAAATGTAGTGGTCCTCCATTTACTATGTGGAGCTNCAATCTCAGAATGGAAAAATTGCCTCATGGTGTTCTTTGTATTTAAAGAAAAAAAAAAGCATGTATCTTTCCTTTCAAATGCATATATAATTACTTTATTCAGGTTCGAAGTGGTCTCTGCTGTTCATTGCTTTTAACAAGTTGTGTTATTATTGTGCAGGAAGAGCTGTCTAAATTGAGTGATGAAGTTAATCGGTTACAAAATCAAGTGAGTTGTCCTATTTATTGTTTTTCTTCTTCAATATATCTTCTTACAGAGATATTAAATTCTCTGTCACCAACCTTTTAGTATTCAATGGCTTTACATTCTAACTGCTGTATATCGAATCTTGTGTCTCATGATATCTTTTATTCAGGTTAGCAAGAATAGGATTTGAATTAACGTATGTCTATGCAGATAACCCTGTATAATGAGTTGAGCTGATAGAAGTTTCTTTTACAATGCTCTACTTCTTTTCGTCTTTAATAAGCATATTTCTGAAGATTGATTGATAATTTCAGCTTGAAGAACTTAAAGCTGGTCAAAGTGGAGAAGTAAAGGAAAATGCTCGCCACAATGATGAAGCGAGTTTGGATTCAGGTGGTTTTGATGATCCAGTTGACCTAGAACGAAGAGAGAAAGTTAAAGATGCTATGATTCATGCATGGAGTTCATATGAAACCTATGCTTGGGGTCATGATGAACTTCAGGTATAGCTTTTACATATGTTTGTTTGCCCTTTTCTTTTGTTTCACTTTACCGAATTCAAATGATCAAGTGCTTATAAATATTAATCTGCCTTGTTTCCTTCATCTTTACAACCTTTTGATAGGAAATCATACTATGCCGAATTGTTTCAATGTTGAGATTTTTTCCCGTTCTCTCCTTCTTTCTTCCTTTTGATGCTGAGCATGCATTTTGGTTGCCAGCCGCAGTCGAAAAATGGTGTTGATAGCTTTGGTGGTCTTGGAGCAACTTTAATTGATGCTCTTGACACTCTATACATAATGGGATTGAAGGAGCAGTTCCAAAAGGCTAGAGAGTAAGTCTAGGGTACCTGCTCTATTTATTTTACATTTGCCTTTTCTTCCTTGTTTGTTTAGTTTGTTTTTACGTTGGCGAATTAGTGGATGTCATTGCCTTCAAATCAGCCACAGGACACCGTTGAAAATTTCTCGTGCCATGGTACCTGTGAAGTGTTTAGAGTCCTTTCTCTTTATAGTTCATATTGATTCGGATTGCTATGAACATCCTATGTCATTGCCTTCAAATCAGGACTTTCTATGAATAGAAGTCACAATTATACATATTTCTTTAATCTTATTCAAGTGGTACATGTGAGGCGAAGTCCTGTTTCATCTTAATCTGACCCAATTTTGTTACATATTTGTAGCTGCATACTTACAATTGTCTTCAACCAAGTGTAAACATCAAACTATATGCTCTATTTGATGCTTAGCATGTTTCATGGCAGGTGGGTTGCACAATCCTTGGACTTTAACAAGAACTATGATGCCAGTGTGTTCGAGACAACCATAAGGTTGCTTTATAAGGTTTAATGTTTTTATCTTCCTTCAGTCGTTTTAACTCGTGTGGATTGCATGCCAATTTGTCAAAAGAAAGAGACCTTGATTTTAGTGCGGAAGTACAAAATCTTTAATACAATACTAACTGTATGTATCTTTGTTAAAAAATCCAGGGTTGTTGGTGGACTTCTCAGTGCATATGATCTTTCTGGAGATAAAGTTTTCCTTGACAAGGCTAAGGATATTGCTGGCAGGCTACTGCCTGCTTGGGATAGTCCTTCAGGCATTCCGTTTAATAGAATAAACTTGGCTGATGGGAATCCACATAATCCTGGATGGACTGGGGTAAAGTCTTCATTAGGAACCTTATGTTATTGTTAAGTTGCAGTTATTCCTTAAATCATGGTTCATGTATTTTCTTGTTTAGGGTAAGAGCATTCTGGCAGATTCTGCCACAGAGCAGATCGAATTTATTGCACTGTCCCAAAGAACCGGTGATCCCAAATATCAGCAAAAGGTATGTCTTTCTATTCAGACACACGCGCACACATTTAAATATGTATTGAGAAGCAAGCATTTAAGTATGTATTGAGAAGAAAATGAAAAGAAACTTCATTTGTAGCATCCCCAATGAAGAATGTGTATTCTTTTTTAATGGAGCTTAAAAAATTGTATCTGGAATTTGGAGATACCAACTACAAAGAATCCACTTTCTTGTAAATTATGAGATTGATCTCTTCCCTCTATGAAGTGAATCTCCCATCCTTATTTTTCCAGGTGGAAAATGTCATATTAGAGCTTAATAAAACCTTTCCATCCGATGGCTTGCTTCCCATCTACATTGATCCGCACAGTGGAACAAGTTCACGTTCGACCATAACTTTTGGAGCCATGGGGGACAGGTCATTTGTCATTTTACATAAAAAAACGATTGCCTTGTGATCTTCTATGCTTGCACATATTGTAAAAGATCTGGAATATGAATCAACCTTTATGGCCACTGTGGTGGTCATGGAATTTTCAAGTACTAAACATTTGGAAATAAAATTGTGCAGCTTCTATGAATACTTACTCAAGGTCTGGATACAAGGAAACAAAACCACTGCAGTGAAGCATTATAGGTAGATATCTCGTGTTTCTTTCTCAGATGGACTCAACACGCTTGTGCAAGTACATGGAATTTTCTCCAGCATTTTATTTATATTTTTTATTTTTTAATTCTCAATTATCCAGTAAACAACTATTGTATGTATTCCGATACAGGGACATGTGGGAGACATCCATGAAAGGTCTTCTAAGCTTGGTGCGGAGAACTTCCTCATCTTCTTTTACTTATGTCTGTGAGAAGATTGGAACCTCTTTAATTGATAAGGTTTGTCTTCTTTGTGGGCAGTGGTTAATGTCAATATGTATGTATATATTTCTGGACATACACATGCGCACATGCACACACACACACATTTTAAGCATTTAAGCATCTCCCATGTCTGATTATTATGGTTACAGCCAAATCCCTTGAAACTAAATCTTGGAAACTGAAATAAATTCGAAAGTGCTAAAATTTGAACACTCTGAAATTACTAAATTACTGAAAAAGATAAAACTAAGAAAAACATAGGAAAGTCTAAAATTTGAAAAGAAAAAAATCCCTTTAACACTTTAAAATTGAAAAACTGCACAAACAACTAAAACCATACAAGTGTTTAAAAAGTTATATAAAATAAAAACACTGGAAAAGTTTGAAAATTGAAAATCTGAATTCTGAACTGAGAAAATAAATAGAATCATACACCATCCTGTTGGAAAAACATCGTGATAGTGCATAATTTTTGTTATATAATTTGACCGTTTCTTACAAGTTGATATCGTTTATTACATGTTTGCAGATGGATGAACTTGCGTGTTTTGCTCCAGGAATGATAGCATTGGGATCTAAGGACTACGGCCCTGATGAATCTAAGAAATTCTTATCGCTGGCTGAGGAGGTTTACATGCATGATTCTTACCTTTAGCTTGTCTAGTTTATGTGCCTGTTCGGTAGAGAACTGTGTAGTCCTTTTAGTGAATAATTTGAATCGATTCTGCAGCTAGCATGGACCTGCTATAACTTCTACCAGTCCACACCAACAAAATTGGCTGGAGAAAATTACTTTTTTAATCGAGGACAGGTGAGTATGTTCGGTGTTTGCTATATTTATTCGAAAAAGCCTGTATTATAACATTATAATAAGAAATAAATTCTTTTCCATTGTGTGTCCCATCTAATAATTCTTCAGGATATGAGTGTTGGAACATCGTGGAATATATTGAGGCCAGAGACAATCGAGTCACTCTTTTATCTCTGGCGTTTGACGGGAAACAAGACTTATAAAGAGTGGGGCTGGAATATCTTCCAAGCATTTGAGAAGAATTCCCGCACAGAGTCAGGATATGTTGGATTAAAGGATGTAAGAACTTCTCAACTTCTGAATTGTTTTTACTGTGTTTATACTATAGTATAGAAAAGTTCTAACATTTTTTTCATTTCTTTTTTTTTCCACCTTCTCTGTGTGTTTGTGTGTGTTTGTGCATGTTACACTTCTAGATTATAGAAGTATTTGTTGTTAATGATTAAATAGTAACATTCGGTAATTAGTTTATTTGTGGCGATAGTAATCTTTTTGAAAATAAATCTCCCTCAAGTACTACCGAGACGAATTTTATTGAGATAAGACACTTTTCGAGTAAGTCTGAACTCCTAAGAGAAACTGGGGGAGGGACTAGACACTAGAGACTAGAACCTGGACTAGATATTTATTGGCTCTACAACTACCGTTTGATTAGCTAGCTATAAGTTGATAAGCTAGTTTATAGCTTTTAAATGAATTTCGAGCTTATAGCTAATAACTTATGACTTATGACTAAAAAGCTAGCTTATATGATAAAAATGTTTGGTAAAATTAGCTGACAAGCTAACTGAAATTAAAAATTCAATTGGCTTATTGGAAAAATTACCTAAGGAAGCTTATGAGATAAGCTTGAGCTTTTTAGAAAAATTCGTCATATCAAACAAAGCTTATTTGAATACAGGAAGCTTAGGAAGCTTATAAGCTAACCAAATAAGCTATAAACTAGCTTATATGCTTACCAAACACAGCCTTACCAGCATTTTCTCTCTCTCTCTCTCTCTCTCTCTCTCTCTCTCTCTCTCCCTCCTTTTTTCTTTGTCTTCCCCAACATTAATACATCTTTTTGCATCTTCACGTTCTTAGGTTAACACTGGCGTAAAAGACAACATGATGCAGAGCTTTTTTCTGGCAGAGACACTGAAATATCTATACCTCCTTTTTTCACCTTCCTCAGTCATTTCCCTCGACGAATGGGTTTTTAACACAGAGGCTCACCCTATAAAAATCGTAACCCGCCATGACTTGGTGGATGCATCAGGAAAGTCTAGTGGAAAACAGATAGAAATTCGATCACGTGCCAGGAAAGAAGGCCGGTTTCATGATACCTAGAAAAAAACCTAAAAAAAAAAAAAGAAAAAAATCTAGATTTATTTGCATTACACCTATACTTCACCTGAATCTTGAGGCCCTAGAATTAGAAGGACAAAGAGTGCTTGAAGAAAAAAGTTATTATTACTATTATTATACTGGCTCAATCGACTCGTGCAGGTTTCTTAGATGATTTGTCACTGCACGATTGAGCTCCTGAATATCCGTTTTGATTTGTAACATTAGCATATATACGATTCAAAATTTTTCTGGATTTTCGCCATACGGTTTTTTGTATGCTTGGTGCAGAATTTGTTTTAGGGAAAAGACACAGTCTTGCCACTGAATGTTGTGGTTTTCTCAAGGGATACAGTGCTGCTAAGTGCAGATGCATTTGTTGTATCATTGTTGAAAGCTTTTGAACTCATGTAATTTGAGATTTTTATTAAGTTCCTTTCTACCTGAAGTTGATCAGTTGATGTGGAATTTGGAGCCCAAATTTAAGAAATTGTACAAATGATTAATTTTGCCAATGAAACAACAAACCATTTGTGAAATATTTTGTGTGTGAGTTGATGATAAATGTGACTTACTACGAAAGCAAAAATTTTGAGATAAAAAAATGTTCAGTTTTGTCTTCAGAAAAGCTGAAAATTCACCCAAATTTGAAATTAGTTTTTCATACATCAATACGTTTATTTGTTAAACAGCATATAGATTTGTATGTGAATGGTTAATGTCATTCATGTACATGTAGATATTAATTTAAGTTGCTAGTTCACATTGTCACTGTTTTTCCAATTGACATTATCAAAAACTAACTAATTAAATATTATACAAAACTTGTGAAAAATATTCTCCTTGTTTGACCAACGAATTGAAATAGCAAATTTGAATAGTGAATCATATTTATTGTAATAATAATTAATTTGACTAGTGAATTGTATTAACGATTTGTAAATAAGTGTTTGGATAATGGAGGTCTTTGTAGCCATTATGAAATTTTATGTTGGCATATTATTCTACAAACTATTTATTATCAAAACTTTGCCTTTTTTAAATTAGCATTTTCGCTCAAAAGTTAACCAAACAAACTATTTAACATATTTGACGAGTCAAAACAAGGTTCATTCCGCTAACATCAAAACGAGTCTATTATCTAAACCATATTGACTAAGAAAATTTGATCATATCAGTAAAAGGAGTACACTATAGTTTTCTTTGTCGTTGATCACACACTCGATGAGAAACTTATAGGATAATAAGGGCCCAGAAAAATTATCCGGCTTTGACTTATTTAGGATTTTTTTACATCTTTTAATTCAAAATCAACTTAAAATTATTCTATCTAAACTCTTCTCAATATTATTAATATAATTAAATAGTATCAATAAATAATACTCACACTATCAAACTTTAATTCACTATTCATCAATTCACATATTTTTAACAATTTATTACTTTCAATAATTTTATATTATATTAATGTTAATCATCACATTTTAAATATTATTTAAATACAAATCAAAATACCACATAATTTTTCACTCAATCAACTTTATTCAAAATTATTTGTACTTAATTTTTCATTCAATCAACTTTATTCAAAATTATTGAAGATATTGTTTCATTTTTTTTTTCATCATAAATTANAAAAATCTTACTCAACAAGCACTACAACCTCAAAACCACCACCACCTCGCCGCCCGCCGGCAAATTCCAGCTGCCTCCGCCACCGCACTGCAGAACCCTAAGCCTTCTTTTTTATTCGAAGATTCAAAAGGAAAACAAAGCCGTTTTGCTGTTACCATGTATAGGCTGATTGTTGAATTATTGTAGCTCACAATATATTTTCAGCAGAAATGCGAAAGGCCGCTCGGATTCTCTCTCGCGTTCGCCAAGAACGGTGTCGGCATTCTCCGTTCAGCTGCTCCATTTCCCAAATCCATTTCTTATGCTCCTCTCGCGAGCCGGAGGATAACAAATTGCAGGATTACAAGCTTGCCAATTACTGGAGTCTAATTCAGTATGATACTCGTTCTCCCCGGCTGCGTCTGGGTTTCGGAGCATTTGGTAGCTTAACGGGGCATAATTCTTTGTCGAAATTCGTTCCTCTGTATAGGTTGATTACGCCTTGTTGTAGTAATCACCACCAGCTTCAGTCCACAAGAAGTGAGTTTCATCCTGTTCTCTCTCTCTCTCTCTCTCTCTCTCTCTCTCTCTCTATTAGGTTGAGGGGTGGGACTTGATGAACTAAGTGTAATCTTTGGTGTGTTTTAACAAGTTGGTGGGCGTTTGCAGGTNTCAACTCATCTTCATGGTTGTCTGGTTTCATATGTTCTTTTTCCAGTGGTGGGTTGCAGTGTGCCCTGCAATTTGATTGAGAAAGACAATGGCAGTGTAGATGTAAATAAATACTTTTATTGTTAGTTTATCACTTAGTCCATTTTTCTTTTGGTGAATATGCATGAGTTCCTTAAGCTGTTTGCATTTCTTGCATCTTCCAATTTCACGAGTTGACCTATCATATAGAGACTAGATTATCATTCTTGCCTTGTCCCATCAATCCTTATACACGTTTCCTCCATAGTAACATATTTTTTGTGTTCAGCCAGCGAGCAGTCACAACAGCCTTATGGTGCAACTTCCTTGTTTTTTCTCTTAAATTTGGGGTGTGGTTATCAACCTCAAGCCATGTAATATTGGCTGAAGTTGTGCATTCAGTGGCAGACTTCGCAAATCAGGTAATTTGTGTTCTATTTTTGTGTACTTGCTGGTCGACACTCTTATGTAGCTGAAATGTGGAAAACCATTCATCAATCTATCATATAATGAATTGATTTCTTGCTTAATCTGTAGGCTCTACTTGCGTATGGTTTAAGTAGCTCTCGCCGTGCCCCAGATGCTCTTCATCCGTAAGTCATCAGTCGATACATGAACGTATAACATTATAGTTACAGGTCTAGGAAGTAAGTTCTTACCATTCACGTGTAGAGATTCTTACTGCGAGACTTACAGGACTCTGAAACTCTCCCTGACATCAGAGTATTAGTTCAAAGATTGTTCTAAGTACCTTTCAAATTTTGCTTCTCAATGGCCAAACAGGAACAGGCCAAAAATGGCTTAATGAAGCTAATTTGTAACTGAGATATATGCAAATGCTGGCATTTATTTATTACCGCGTTTTCAAATTATCAATGAATGCTTAAATAGCTTTGGGACTTTATATGACGAACTAACCTCTGCGTGCCGAGACTTGTAATGATGTACTTTAATGGTGAAATCACACTAAATTTGTTGTTTATATGATCTCAGATATGGATATTCCAAGGAGAGATTTGTCTGGTCTTTGATTTCTGCTGTTGGTATATTCTGTCTCGGTTCTGGTGCTACTATTGTCCATGGTGTTCAAAATCTCTGGACTGCCCAGGTAGCAAACTATTAAAATGAAATGTGGAAACTCTAAACTTTACATTCACAAGCTCAAAACAACTTTACTATCTTTATAGTACGCAATGGTGCTTTATAGATTGATACT